TCTTCACAAATTATAGTAACACTCCAAACAACTTGTACAACAAACAAAACCTGTGCTCTATACTCTCTTAATATTTTCTTAAAAAATAATATGAAGAATAATGTAACCAACGAGCAAAACCAGGAAGGAAAGAATATTTCAGAATATTTTTCAAGATGTAAAAACTACTGGAATGAGTTCTACTATTTATAGGACCATTGGTGATGGTTGGAAAGATCTAAACATATTCAATTTCAAACTAAACAGGTACAAACAGATTTCAGATCTGTTGGTAACTGCTGGATAGATTTGAATTTGTCTGGGCAGTTTTATAACTTTAAAACTAGTTTGAACCTGTCCAGAGTTCAACAGATTGAAAAACTGTTCGAACTAATTAATCTGTTGTGGAATTCGGATCTGAAAAGAGGCACAAATTTTGGACAAAAAAATTGAATTCAAATTCAAATTAGATTGGCGCAAAATTTCAATTAATTTTTCCCGCAAGAATTTTGGAAAAAATTAATTTAAGAACCGACCTGACCCACAACCCACACCCAGCACGACTCGGGTCGGACGGCGGCGCGTGTGGTGGTTTGGGCTAATGTTCACTTTATCCATAACACCTTCCTTCTACAAACTTGGGATGCCCGTTAAGGCTCAACTCAAGCGTTGTCACTTAGAACTTATATACACACATCAGTTTTCTTAAGTTTCCAATGTAGGACAAGTCTTACAAGAAAATCCACATTTAATTCTTTAATTGCCCATTCCACGAACCCGAAAACGACGTCAACTTTCCATTCGCTCATAAATGGGTTTGACGAACCGTCTTCACTGTGTGACTTACCATGCGGTAAGGAACACGCCACCTTCTTTGGACCCACTCCAAAAGACATATGGGACCCACTTAATTTTAGACTCAAAATTGACCCAAAATAAGCCTATAAAAATCAAATTTCCAACATGTAGTCCGTATTTAAAGTTTTTATTTCATCATTTGTTGGTAGTAATTATGTTGGTTCGTTTAGTTTCTAGTTTTTAAATTATTATTTCATTTTTTGCACTTTTTATTCATTTATTCATTCATTCATTATTTTTCTCTTTTTTTTTTTAATTTTTAATATCTATTTAAATTAGGCGATTATTATTATTATTATTTTGGTAAATCAACATAAAGACAAAGAGGAAAAATAAAGCCTGATTTTATAAGCTGTTGAATACAAATTGATCTTATTTTTCATGAATACATATAATAATTGAAGAGTCATGGACGAGAGTGTAGATAGGAAGAACAAAAGGTCACATATATATTATTATTTAGAGGAATTAGCGGTAATCGTGCTATATACGGGATGTGAAAAAATTAATAATATATTTTTATAAATTCATATAAAATAATTAGATTTTTGTACACAAATTATAAAAATAAAAAAAGATTAAAACTTACAATTTAAGTCTCACAATTTTATCATAATTTACGTATCAATTTTTAATTTGTCACAATCATAGAATTGCAAAATTGGACGAGCTCAACCCAATTAACTCGAGTTAAGCATGAATTTTTTTAAAGATTGGGTAACACAATTTTTAATTGAATGAGGACCTATACAGAAATTTAAAAATTTTAAAATTCAAATTAAATTTGAGTGGACTTGGACAGAGACATCAAATAACTTGAGCAACTCGAAAAAAATTATATATATATATATATATATAAATATATAAAATTATTTACTAATTTATTTTTTAAAATAATAAATAAAATTAATTAAAAATATAATATTAATGAATAAAAGAAAAAGCGATATGCTTAAGTTTTTCCAATAGATTTTTTTAAAATGTTTAAAAAACACACATTTTAGGTTTATATATAAGTTTATATTAAGAAAATCGAATAAGCTTATATTAAAAAAATTACTTTTTATAATGACATAAAATAATTTAAATATATTTTTTTAGAAATTATTTTTAATTTAAAAATTACTATAAAATATTCAAATAGAATAAAAATAAATTTCTTACAAAATAAAAGTATCTGAATAAAAAAAAGATTAAGAAGGAAATTTACAATGGTATTATCAATTGATTTGAAAATAATTCTGGATGAACAATAAATTCTCCCTTATTTTTTTAATAAAAAAAAATTTGCAAACCATCATTTTCAATAGAAAAATAACGTTTCTTTCTATTTTTGTTTTAGCAAAAGTTACTTTTTAGCAATTTGAACCAAAAGTATTTTTATTTTTATTTTAATTAACAATTGAGATTAAAAATAAAAATAATTTTTTTTAAAAAAAAGAAAGAAAGAAGAGGACTCAATTAGTATAGCATTCAACATTAATAACTTTTTGCCATAGACTAGGCAAAGATAATATCAATAAACTAGCAATCCAACCCCAATTAAGTTCAAGGCAATTGACACACACCATAATTGAGAGAGAGAGAGAGAGAGAGAGAGAGAGAGAGAGAGAGAGAGAGAGAACCTGTTAGTGAGCGTTTCACTTCTTAGGTTCATTAGTAGTTTTCAAAGCCAACAAGTTTGCATATATTTTCTCATCCAATAAACTAAATGCTTGAGTCCCCAAAAAATCATTTGTTAAACTACTAGATTGAACATTCTTGAGAGAGAGAGCATTTGGTAACGGAAACCTGCTAGTGAGCCTCTCACTTTTTAGTTCCATTAGTAGTTTTCAAAGCCAACAAGTTTGCATATATTTTCTCATCCAATAAACTAAATGCCTGAGTATCTAAAAAATCATTTGTGAAATTACTCTACTATATATTACAGACTTTTTTTTCATCACTTACATCCAATTCACTTGGTCCAATAATTGATGAAATATATAATTTGTCAAAATTCAACCAAAAATGTGAATTTGTGTGGACGTATCTTATTCCGTAATGAATGCCATTAGATTCTTTTGCATGAAGTATAATTTTTTTCTCAGTAAGTTTACCGGCACTATAGTTAAGCTAGATCGAAAGCAGAATCATTGTTCATCAATAATGAAGATCAGTAAAACCCAACAAAATTAAGATCAAGCAACTACTGCTAACTAATTAAACTCTCAGTTCACAAACAGAACCCAACTGAATTTAGATCAATAAAGAACATTTCAAACCCAAAATTAAACCCAGATCACCTTTGAAATCATTAAAACCCAACAAAAGGATAGATCAAGCAACTAGTACTAACTAATTAAACTCAGTTTACAAACAGAACCCAACTGAATTCAGATCAAGGAACAACATTTCAAACCCCAAAATTAAACCCATATCACCTTCGAAAGAGCCTCGACGATGGTATCAAGAATATGCCTCGACTGTCGATCATAATACTCCTCAACAGTGAGCTTCCAACCCGGGTCATTATGCGAATGAGGGACCACAAAAACCTTCAAGGTCTCCGAATCCCACTCGTTCCCTTCGTATCTCACCCTCCAACCTTGCTTCCACGGCCTAGAAATGAGGAGTCCATTAGACAGAGGGCGATGTCGATGGCGATGTGCGACGGATGTGAGCAATGGTGGTAAGGGACTTCTGTGAGCTAGAGAGAGTGGGCACCGATTGAGAGAGAGAACACAGAAAGAGGGAGGGGCGGGCCAACATTGAGAGACACAGATTAGGGCTTTTTTTAGATAGAGACAAGGGAGATCAGGCTTTAATTTTTTTTTTCTGAAATTCAATTCCCGCCCCATGTTTCAAATTTCCCCCCAAACTTTTGGTGACCAAAAGATCAAATTAGTCGCAAAAACAGGTTCTTTTGCTGACAAAAATTTTTAGTCGCCAAATCTCAATCAACGGCGACTAAAATTTTAGTCTCTAAAAGTACTAATTTGGCGACTAATTTTTTTTGATTGCTGAAAATAAGTTTTTCACGACCAAATTTTTGATTGCCAAAAAATATGTGACCTTCCGCGACCAAATTTGTAGTTGGTCGGCAAAAGTATACCACTTTCTGCGACCAACTCATTTTTTGGTCGCCAAAATATAACCTTTTGCGACCAATAATATTTGGTCGCCAAAAATAATGATTATTCGCGACTAATTAATATTTGGTCGCCAAATGTCATTTTTTGGCGACCGAAATTTTTTTGGTCGGCAAAAATGGTCGGCAATTGTGTAAATTCTTGTAGTGAGTGGTGGGGCTGGGCACCTTTATCACAAGTCCCACTTTGGTAATTTATATCATTTTTTTTTTTATAAAAGTCTTTATGTATAGATCATAAAAAAAATAAATAAACTAATCATATCGATTCGATAATTAAAACAATATGATTTTATGATCTTTGACTTCAAAAAATGGATTCACAAAATTGGAAGGTCTTTCATTTTTATGAACACAAATATGACAATTACATTATTATGATTATCATATCAATATGATTTGTTTTTGATAATTTATGCACAAAATTTACAAAATAAACAATTTAGATTATCGAAATATCCAGATTGTTTATTTTATAAGGTCTTTCGTGTAAATCTTCCAAACAAAAAAAAATTATCTCATAATTGTAACCTATTCAATTTGTCATGTTTGACACCCCAAAAAAATGGTTAGCCTATTTGAAAAACACACATTTTCCACAAATTTTTCTTTGTAAGAATTGATAATTAATTAACGGTGAATGCTATATTTTAAAGTTCATTAACGTACCTTTCCATCCAAGAGATGGTGTTGAGATGAGGTTGAAAAGTCTGCCTTTTGTTGGTCTAGCTTGTGCTGAAATACTGATGGGAGTATCTTCATTTTGGGACAGTTGATTACTTCTATTGTTTTCAACAACAATCCCTCAAACGTACAAGTCTCAAAGCAGAAACTACTGAGGTTTGGCAAATCACTGAGTTTGAGACTACTCAGTTGAGGGAACATGATCATATTTGTTATCACTGTATCATCTGCATTTGGTTCATTTCCAATGATTGACTCCATCATACCACATTCAGTTACCTCTATTTCTTGTAGTTTTACAGGAAGTTTGGTTAGAGAGTATGAGAATAGATTTCTCAAATTATCACCCTCAACTGAGTAGATGCCTTAATTCCACCCTTTTTAATGAAGGGAGTGCCATATCTGATATGCCGTCTTCCCAAACAAGTCCTTCAAGGTCAAAGGCTACTCCAATAGATCGATAGTCCTTCACTTCAAGTACTTCAAGATTTTGCATGCCCTTAATTGAATTGGATGGAAAAAGAATATTTGAGAGCCCATGGCAACATTGAACTGTCATCTCTCTTAGTTTAGCTTCAAGTTCCCCAGGCCAAATTTCCATCAGATTCTCCATGCCACAGATGGTCAATCCTTCAATGGTAGCCAATTTATCCTGTGAGTTCATTCACATGGTGTTACAAACATAACTAAGCAATACAAACTTGATTCCATTAAACATCATCCATTTAGTTTTCAAATTAATATACTTCATATTTGAATAATTAAATGTAAACAGTTCTTGCAAATCTATTGCAATACATTTTTAGATCATTGACCTAAAAAACCTAACCCATTTTATTAGATTCTTGAATTTTCCAAATATAAAAATACACATTAAATTTATTTATATTGAGAGTCTTAGGCCCCGTTTGGAAATAGGTTATTTTAGTTGGCTTTTTAACTATTTTAGGCTGGCTAAAAAAGTTGTGTTTAGGAAAATAATTGACTTTTTTTCTTTTCTTTTTTTGTAATTGATTTGATGGTTGTGAGAGAAAAAAATAAATAAAATGATTATGGTTCGGATGTAACATTTTGTCTTATTTACTATTTTAATCTATTTTATCTTTATTAACTATTTTAACCCAAATTCAACTTTCCAAATAGGGCCTTAATCTAGATTCTTAATCCATCAGAATCTTAATACACCATTTATGCATAAATTTTCCAAATATAAAAATACACATTAAATTCAGGGTGATGGGGCTTCGAATCAATCAATAGTTAAATGAGGTGCAAGGACTTTTTTCATGGTTATCAAAATCTTAATTTAGATCATAACATCTTATGATTTTATAATTTTAGTTGGGTCAAATAATTCGAATCACAATAAAATCTTAAATTTATTAAGGGTTGTTTTGGCAAGTGCAAAAAAAATTAACTTTTTTACTTATTACGAAAAGACATGAAAAAATTAAAAAATAATATGACCTAAATATGTCAATAACTTGACTTTTTTGACAATTTCCAAAAGAAGCCTAAGATCTTGAAGTGACTATAATTATAGTTATAAAATCGTATAGAACCACGTTATAATTCCAATTCTATTAGCACTATGATCCTGCTTTTACTACAATCTCAATCCTACTAATTTTTTTTTCTTATTATTTATTTCTTATATCTATATGTGTATATCTATAAATTTGACTATAAACTTATTCCACACGCCTCTTCTAATTTATGTTAACTTTGAAACTAGGAAAAGACTACAATAAACACCTTTTGAGGGGCATGTATCATATGCACTATAACTATAAAAGAAATGACATAATTTCATATTTTTTGAGTCATAATTAAAAAAAAAAACTTATGACCAAAATCTCAAAATAATGTCATAACTAAAAAAGAAAATTTGTCATAACTAAAGAAGAAAATGGCGTAACTAAGGGTATATATGGTATAGCGTGTGTATGATAGAATTCTTCTTGAAAATCTATTATAAGGCAAATTACACCGGTGGTCTCTATATTTTATCCCTTGTGTCATTTTGATCCCTACACTTTCAATTGGCTCAATTTTGATCCTTAATTTTGATCTTTGTCATACATATTGATTGATATTTTTTGTTATAAATTCATGGGAACTGTTAGGGTGTGTACATCATCAAAATGTGCACATCATGTGCACCTTACTTTTTAACCGATAGATATCAAGAAGTTTAATTTGAACTATTAAATAATTTAATTAGAAAAATTGAGGACCTTCTCAACCGGTTAAAATTTTCTTTATTGAAGACTCTCTCTCAAATCAATTGTGGTCATCGAATCTCTCTTATTCTAATGGATGGTACAATCAATTAAATAACAATAATATAAATCTATACCAATCTATTGTACATTCAATTGTGATTGTTCAATCCACCTTTCATTTACAATGGCTACTAATCGATTGTACAATTGTTGGCTTTTTGGCTTTTCGAAGGGTATTTTTGTAAATGTGAGCGTGCCAGCAAGGATCAATCAGTCCTTACAGAAATTGTGATTGTCAACCAATTACCAGACGATTGTGTTTTAGTTCTTTCAGCCTCAATGAAGAGGACTTTTACTGGTGGCTTAACTTAGGAGAAATTAAAAGGAATAACAGTAATATGAAGAACAATTGAAGTATTTCATTAAAATGAACACTTACAATGGTCCAAACTCAGCCTCGGAGAGGTTTACAACAGCAATCCACTTGAATTCTCACTTGAATCTACTTGAGACTACTCCTATGAATTGAAGTGCAGTGCAGATATGTAAAGTGCAGGTATTGAAAGTACAGGAATGTAAAACTGGAAAGTAAAATATGAAATAAAGACTGGTAGTCTGATCTGAGTCATCTTTTCTCTGGGGGTCTCTCTGCTATTTATACTTGTCAAAGATGACCTTCGAACTGCTCTTCGAACCGTCGAACTGCTCCTCCATGATCGCTGATCATGTTGCCTTAGAAGTAGCTCCATTATGCCACCATTTGCAGTTAGGCTTCCCTCATGTATTTGAATTTGAATATGAGAAACCGTTGAAGCCACGTCACCTTGCGTTTCTTTACTGATCCAATGTTGTTCAGACCATGTGAGAACCAATTATCATCACCACGTGTACGATCAGGATTGAAGACTTAAATTACTTTCCAATAATACCCTTATTCTGCCACGTGTCGGACTGTAACTGGCTTTTACAAAATATATAGCTAACATTACCCCCCGCACTAATATACCCAATACTTGGTGATATTAGTGGACCAAGAAGCTTTTCCCACGCTTTTGGATCGTGTATGGAATTTATCTCCAGGAAACATAACCGTTACCTATTTGATGATTATTTGCATTAACTCCCTTTTGATTCTGTTGGATATCCCAACACCTTAGTATTCGAACAGACCTTGGCTAAACCAACTCCCCTTTCTACTGATCAAGCGTACGAAAGAACCTCCACGCATTCATTAGTCACCTTTATCCGCCTTTCTATATTCAGGTTATGGATGCCTTTGCAAATTCTCATCCTTTGGACCACGAATACATTGCCCTTAAGACTTCGATTCGACAAGCTACAGCCATAGATACAAGAAGTTCTTCCTCTGATTCTTCCTTGTATTTCGAACAAACTGCTTTCGATCCCTCGATTCAGCAATTTGCAGCCATGGATTTAGGAAAAAATTCTGCATGGGATGAGGCTACAACTTCTTCATTTCCTGGGGCCTCTGGCTGGACCAACTGGTCAACACCTGAGACTTATGATTTGAGGGAGCGAATCAATCACCATTTCGTTGAATTCACTGACCCTTTGGAATTTCCTTCCTACGCTCGAAGTTCAGTGGTCTATCCTTATGTGCCCATTGACCAATGACGTAGCTTGGAGGAGAACTTGCTTGTGGCTTGGTATACATCTTCTATACCTATGAAGATAATGCCTGCTATCCGGCGCTCAGAAGAAGCACAAGGGTACAACTCATCATTCTTAGCCAAGAAGGCGAAGATCTGCTCTTCTGACTGGCTTGCTTATATTAATGCCTTTGTTCCTTCCGCTCCCGCGCCATCTCCTATAATGGAAGCATCCACACCTTCTTCTCCATCCTTTGAAGCTGAAGCATCTACATCTTCTTCTTCACTGTTTGAAGCAGAACCATCCACTCCGTCTCCTCCTCCTACTTTGTCCTGGACAGAGAAACTAAGGCTTGCCCTTCCAATGGACAAAGTTTTTCCACCTTATCAACCTCCGTCACCCCCTTCTCCAACCGAGCGAAAGCAAGCTCAACTTTTGCTCGCGGCTTTCTCCCACCTGCCTTTCAATGTTCTTGAGGATGACGTTCTTCTTAAGAACTTTCAATGGGCTTGTGATGTCCTGGCTAGGGGTTATGTCCTCAACCCTCTTGCCCAAGCAGAGCTTCATTTGTTTTTGGACCAACTTCCAGTGCTCTTTTATTGGCATCGGAATTCCATGGTCACCATGCAATCTTTAGACCAACTTTCGTCTCTGCGAATTCAGGCCCAGTATGACGCAGAAAACTTCATCGAAGAATTCGACGACTTCAAGAATAAAGATTCTGCATATTGGGATGATTTGGTCGTAGATGAATGGGAACAAAGATTAAGGGAGGAGGCTTTTGAAATAAAGGCTGAAGAGCTCTATTATGAAGTGAGAGCACATCAGCTCATGCAGCCAACTCTTGAAGAAATAGAAGATATAATAAAGAAAGAACAGAAATTCATTGACCATTGTTGGACTAAATTTCATGATCTTGTTATCTATTCTATTCCTTATTTTTATGAACTTGAGTTTGTACCCAAATGGGGTTATTCAATGTAATCTCTTTATCTTTAATACAAACAAAGTTCTTTTGCACTCGCCATTGCTCGACTCTGCTTCCTTTTATATTTTGAAACTAATTTAGAGCTTCGAATTGGACAACCTCATCCTTCGAATTATATACCAATCATGTCTTTTTCCAATTCATGGAGTAAGATTGACAATTCTGGCCGATATCATCTGGAATTAATGCTTTAAATTTTAACAACATTACCCCTCAACATATGGTCATGGTTAATATAATCAATCAATTTCAAATTGACCATTTTTCTTTCGAAGAATAATATGTACAAAAAACCAATAATTGGTTTTGATGCTTCGAACAGTGTTTCTTACCCCTCAAAACCAATTACAACCAACATATGGTCATGGTTAATATAATCAATCAATTTCAAATTGACCATTTTTCTTTCGAAGAGTAATATGTACAAAAAACCAACAATTGGTTTTGATGCTTCGAACAGTGTTTCTCATACTCAGAGAATACTAGGGTTTGCTCCGAAGGTCGTTACTTTGATTCATAATCCCTAAACAGGTCTTTAAACTCTTCGAAATAGACCAATAATCAAGCAATTTAGCACCTTTAAGCATATAATAGGCTTCGAAGCCGGCTTATGTATTTCGAAGCCGTTGTTATTTGATTTTTTGGCGCCAACATCTTGTCTTCGAAGCCAAATATTTCATTTTGAAGCTGGCCCCAATCCTGGAATAAGCTCTTCCCTCCAAGACTATCAATATTGGAAGAGATTCCTCGCATTCATACTTTTAGTACTTAACGACTTACGGGGTATAATTTCGGACACAAAGGTTTTAAAACCCTCTCGTTTCGTGT